TTTTTCTAATCGACAGCCGTCGGCGCAGTGATGTAAAAAAAAAAAAAAAAAAAAAAGCCATAAGCAGTCGGTCGAAGCGTATAGCGGTATGGCGTAGGGTCCCGATGGTTTTCCGGCGGATTTACGAATTTCGAAACCCCTCCCGTCCCAAACGTCTGGCCGCACGGGGAAGCGACGGGACTGCGGCGACGGCGCCGCGCGTCAAACGGGATTTCGCATTGGCATTTGCGGAGGAAAAAAATGTATTCCGCGACGGTGCACGATAACGCGTAGCTATAGAAATAATAATATTACGCACGCGTGCGCGACCTTTGACGGGATACTTTCCGAACGCGCCGAAGGCTGCATACGAACCGAGCCCCGACAAAACCTTTCCGGACGAATCGAGTCCCGGGTTGCTTTTAGGCATATACCCAATTGAGTACCTCGACATTTTTGTTACAATACTAATCGGGTCCGTTTTTCAACGCTGACCGAATCCCGTTGTTAAATTGAAAAAGAAATAAAAAAAAAAAAAACACCGAAATACATTTTTCACATTGGCAAAAACGTATGCGATAAACACTGTGTACATTCGAATCGTGTTCAAATATTTGCCGCGGACGAATCGAGATTACAAGTATCGCCTGACGAAGATGGCCCGGAAATGATAATACGAACGATATCGCGTAGTGGCCGTCTCCGTGTTCGAATATTGTGGTCGGTTTTATGGTTCACCCAAAACGACCCCCGGACTCGATCGGTGTGTTTTTGGTTTCCCGACCGCGCGGACTCGGTTTGTACACGTCTCGTTTACACCCGGGGACTCGGTTGTCAGCATATCGTTTTTTCCCCGTTCGGGTATCGGGACTCGATCGGTGCGCGGCGGCGTCGAATAGCGTCCGTCGAGGCCGTTTCGCTGTAATGAACCCGTCGTTCCCGTTCCGACCGCGCGCAGAAATCGCGATTCGTCGCCCGGGGGGGGAGGGGGGGGGGCGAAAATCAAAAACGCCGTGCGCCTTGTTCGCAATAATTCGTTCGAAAACCGTTTTTTTTTTTTTTTTTTCTATAACAACGATCCACACAAACAACCGATGTTCGAATTAACGCGCGCGCGATGTCGCCCCGAATCGAGACAACCCCCGGGGTGGTGGGGTGGCGATAATTGGGGGGGAAACGTTTCGCAGCCATCACGACGCGACCGCTCGCCGGTCACGGCGACGGCCCGTCGGTTACGGTAGGACGTGTTCGCACTTGTTGCGCGGCGGTCCTAGCGCGCCGCAACGGAACAACGTAATCAAAAACGTGAGACCGCGTTTTATACGAGAGTGGGGGAAAAAAAAAAAACAGAGAACACGTTTCAACAACAATGTTCGGCGACATGGTATAACGACAGGGTGTACCGACCTTTTCGCCGGTGTACGTGCACCGGACGGAGACCGGTCGCTGCGCGTCGTCATTGTCGTCGGACGGCCGGTCGGCGGACGCGACGTCCGCGCACTTGCATTCCTTCTTGAGACACCACGACGACGCGGACGGCTGCGGGCGCGGTCCGTCGTCGTCCGCCGCGGCCGCGGTGACGCCGCTGCCGCCTTCGGCCGGAGCCGACAGCAGCAGCGGCGCCGCGGCGCAGGCGAACAGGACGACGGCCACGGCCGGCCATCCGTCGGCCATTTGGCTGCGGCTACGGCGGCGGCGGGTCAGCCGCGCATTCTCGGCCCCGTACGGAAATATCGGCGCCGTCTCGTGCGGTCGGTCCGTACCGGAATACGACCGGATCAAAACGATATCGATTAAAAGACGGACGAAAACCGTCGCCGTCGTCGCAATTTTCTTTCGCTCCCGAACGAAGCGAACCGGAACGATGCGGTAGCGCGCGACTCGCGTCAACTGAACGACACGCGAACGGAACGCGGGCAACCGGCGACGTGTGTACACGCACGACAGACGGACACGCACTGACGCGAGTACGCGAGACGCTACGGCCGAGACGATTTTACGCGGCCGCCGCCGCCGCCGCGTTTATTATTATAAATTTCGTGCGGCCGCCGCGGATCCGTTTCTCCCACCCGAAAAACTGGTTTTTTTTTTTTTTTCCACCGCCTTCCGCCGGGCCCGCAGCAGCGAACAGCAGCTGTACACTCGCGACAACCTACGGAACGGCCGGCGGCGGCGGCGGCGGCGGCAACACCGGCTAGACGCGTTCCGCGTGTACGCACGCGATCGTAACGACGACGCGTTATTGCGGCGTACACTTGTTGTCGCGGCGTAGCCCCCGTCATATCGCCGGCATTATTGTCATCGTTATTGTCGTTGTCGTCTCTCCCGGTGTTTGACGATATTTTCGTTTACTCCTCCCCCCCAATCGCACTCCGGTTCGTCATTACGTCGGATCGCGTTTCGAGAGGATACCGATGACAAACGTCGGCCGGTCCGACCGCCGCCGCCGCCGCCGCCGACGCCGTCCGCACTCGGCCGGGGGTAGCCGCGCTGACGTCACCGCCGACAACGGCCGTTTTGTTGCCGCGTCGTTTCGACGGATTTCGCTTCGGACTCGACGGAACGAACAAATACCGCGGCGCCGCACAGTGGTTCGAAATCGACGGAAAAAAAACAAGGTGACCGAAACTCGACGCGATATTACAGTTTTCCGAGAGGCGAATACGGGCAGCCGATCGAAACGAAACGCTTAGATTGATGTACGCCTTATGCGCGTGAGGGTCGGTAAGGGAACCGGTTCGGACCGTACGTCATTAAACGTACAACTGTAGCCATAACGAGTGATAACGATCAATTCGCCATCACCGAAACTATTAACAGTGCAGACATTTGATATTTCTGTGATAATGACGATAAACACACTCTATAATAGTCTCTATACTGATCAATGGGAATAGAGGCCCCTCGAATGTTAATCGTGTTTCTACGTTATTTCATAGCCCGCGAAAACCCAACGTATTATCGGAATTACAAACGTTTTTACAGACAAACGAATTTTTCGCGTCGGACGGATTAATTTTCGGTGGTACGTCCACAATCGGATGGTATTTGAATTTTCGTAGCGAGTGGACGAGTGAGAAACGATGGAGAAGAACTTGACGCGATTGCTTTGCCGGCCGAAGAATATGCAATACGGAAAAAGAGCTGATACTGGCGTTATTTCATTTGTATCTGTAAGCAACGATAAACCATTGCTTGACGAAGGACGATTCCGAGCGCAATTCGATAATACACTATTTGAAGTGTCGTAATTTTTTTTTTTTTGTGATTTTCGTTTAAATTTGATTTCAAAACGCTTATTGAAAAAAAAAAAAAATCGTCCGATGATTTTACCACGTCTAGGTCAGTCCAATATAAGTATTATTACCAAATTTCAAGTGTATTTGTAACCGAATTACAGCAAATAAACACTCAAAAATTAGAATTCTTTCAAAGCTCAAAAGTGGCTCAAAAGTTTTGTCGATGATACCGTAAGAAAGTAAATCAAAAAGGCAAAAAAAAAAAGGGTATCTTGTGATTTTTCGATTTAACCATTTTTCTGGTAGAAAACACCGTCCGTGTTTTTATAAAATAATAAAATCGTGAAATTATACGTTTTTTCCCACTTAAGTGCTTTTATTTAAAGAATGACATCGAAACTCAAGAAACGACCTATTTAAAGTGCCATCAAGACAACTTGAGTTTATAGAAACAGTGCTACACGTAAAAATCAGAGCAAGTTTACTGGGAAAAAACGTGTCCACAGACTAAAAACAAGAAAAAAGAAAGAAAGAAAGAAAAAATAAACATCTTAATAAAACCAATAAATCCCCTCGCTACGCTCGGAAACGCTACGTTGAAATTTTCAGCTTAGAGTTTTAATTGTAAATTGGACCGTCTCGATGCGATAAGGGCATAAGACTATTCCATGATATCCGCTTCGGGGGGGGGGGGGCAGGTTTATTTCCGTTATTACGTTGTATACAAATATGACGTTTTAGACCGAAAAGTCATATAAAACTGCAGAAATTACGTCCGACGGATTTCGATTTTGAAAACGAATTATTCTCAACTAGGATTGTACGTTGGAATTACTTTTCATGTATACATTTTCTTTATTACAAGAATAATTTATCATCATACAGTTGCATCACTTTTGATTTGTCTACACGACGTTACAGGGGCGTGATTGAGGGAGGGATAGATCCTCCCCAGAGCCTTTATAATAATACACATACATACGTATATATATAAATATTATGAAATAAAAATGTATGTAGAATTTATTTAAATAATACCACGAATTCAAAGAAATCTGTAAATAGGTTTGTACATGGAAACTTACTGATAATGAGTAACGGGCGCGTCATTATTTAATTTTTTAATTTTTTTTGATTAGATTATTTAATCAAAAATTTAATCTATGATTATTGTTGAGATTGACCGTTGACGTAATGCCATTTTTATTTGTCAGACTTTTAGTGGTCGACGGTTATTACATTATTAATACTATAATAATATTATACTCTTTATTATAAATTCAAAAGATTATTTTATTTGTTTCCGTTGTATTTTTATGCCATCTATTTAATATTTTATGTTTGTCGGCTCGCGGAGTTCGTGCCTTCGTGAAAAGTCGAAAAGTTAAAATAATAATTTTTTTTTTTCCCCATAAAAACTGCAGTTCTAAACTAATAAAATTACGGGAAAAAAAAGGAAAAACACCATTAATAAAAATAACATTTAATTTGATTACACGAGTATTCAATATTTAATTGTGAATGATTTATTATGATGTTGTACAGGTACTAAATCGTGTAGGGTTTTTAAAGCAAATTGAAATAATTTTGTGTATACATTATGCTTTAGGATCTTTCGATGGCGTAGTATTCCAAACTACCGGCACTCGCCACCGTACTTGAAATTTTAGTATTTTGCGTGTAAAAAAAAAAAATGTCTATCCTCCCCCTCCCCCCCATCCCCAGAACGAATTCCCAATTACGCCGATTGCGACGTTAAAGTATACGCAAGTTCGAGTTTGAAGAACAGGGGGAGCTCAATACGAACGAGTAGATTTGAAAAAAAAATACTCATCGCCTTGCTCTCCCCGTTCTCTTTCAGTGTCGCGATTATCGTTGGCGCGTTTGCTCGAAAACCGAAATTGCAAACCGAGACGGTCGTGCTCGGTCCGCGCGCGCGCGTGCTTTCGCCATCCACGTCACGTTGCCGGTTGGTTGAACCGGGACAGTGTGTACTGACGCGAGCGTACGCGACCCATTAAGGAACTGCGTAACGTCGAGGGGACGTTTAATAATCGTATTCAATTATGCAAATAATAATGTTACGTACACGTGTGAAGTCTAAATGCCTATAACGCAGTTACGCGGCATAATATTCCGTGCGCGCATTAATTATTCATGAAAACAATATAACGCCGCGGTCCCAATACGATACACGCGCAATCACCGTGTCCGTGTACCGGTCTATTTTAGGCGTTTTGCGCGTCGCGCGAATGCCTACGGCGGCGGCGGCGGCGGCGACGACGCGCGGATTGTTTTATTCTCTCTCGCCGACCGGTTTCGGTCAAGTCGCCGTAACCTTACCCGTGCGGCCCGAGCCCGGGCCCGGATGGGCTGTGACCACCGGCGCTGCGCCACGGACGTCCCGGCACTTCGCCTATATTTCCTTCGCGCATTATTCCGCGTGACAGAGCGCCGCGAATCCCGCATGCGCCCCACCCGCCCAATTTAGCCGGCGGCTTCTTGTGCCGTTCACTGCCCGTCTACTGCCCGTCTGCTTGCCCGTCCCGTAGGTACACATTATCACTTTTAAAAATGTGCAAACGAATCGTTGCGACGCATCGCCACGAAATAATCATTTAATTGCAACATCGAAATCCAACGAGTCCTCCTGTAGGCAAAAGGGTAAACCTGTTCAACAACACACGACAATACGCGTAATCCTGTAAACTGAAAACTATAAACGCCCCCTCGGTTACACGCCGAGCCAATAGCATTGCGGTCTTTAGAAATCCAAAACGCAAACCGACGAAATAATCGTCAATATTCAACGGTGATGTAAAATGGCCGAAATCCCGATATATATATATTCGGAACGTTTTGCGCTGTTATTGTACGTATTATTAAAAAATACGTTCCGAAATATCGTGCACGCTGAATAATTCAGGTAAAGATATGAACGTACGCGATAAGACTTATCAAGTTTTTACAACTTTCGTTTGAATATTAAATTAATAATACAATATATAATATACCTAGGTACACCGTATTATAGTACATTATATTTAAATTTCGAAAACTTTTTACTTAGGTAAGTGTACGTACTCGCGGTCCTGAGATTGGAACCGATGCAATACGGGGCGAACGTTGTGTACAGGGTGTCTCGAAAACGTTGTGTTACATTTAAGTTTTCACTGACTGCATACAATTAATCATTTTACAGATCGATTATTTATTTATCCAGAGCATACCCAGGTCACACATAACGGTTACGTAAGTGCGGTGTTTTTTGTAGGAGATTTTTTTTTTTTTCATAAAATACATAAAAAGTTATTCATTGGCCATGTCAATTTTTTTTGGCGCCGTTAAACGAAAAATAGTTATAATAATAATTTAAAATTACGCGAGCGACATTTTAATTGTTTTTACAATGTGTTTGACTAATAAAATAATAATAATAATAATAAAAAAATAAAACAGGATAATTCAACAGCTTTGAGATTTGTATTGTATTGTGTAAAATCGTGTTTGTTTAAACGTAATATCGAAAATAGTTTTTAAAATTAATTACAACGTTTTCGAACTTAACGTGATAATCTAACCAGTTGATAATATCGATCGCCAAATCGACTTTGATCGATTGGTTTTACGCAGTTAATCAGCGAATTAGTTTTCTTATTCTTTTCGGAGTTGGAACTGTGCGAGGAATACGTTTTGTTTTGTTGCGATTGTATCACTTTTATCTATTTTTTTTTTGTTA